CATCACTCAACGCCGCCTCCTCCTCGACGATGGCCCTCCAGACTTATTCCTGCCTTATTCACAAGTGTGTGAATTCTTTAGAGTATTGTTATGCTGTGAGCTACAGGGTAAGTTTCTAAGATAGCTTCATGTGTTGTGAAATGGGTAAATCTTGTTGAAATATCCATAAGAGAAGGTGACAGAGCAGGTGTGAAGGAAAAGAACACATTAACATAAGGGTCGATGATGGCGACACAGTTCAGTAGCAAGAATGATCTTTATTCAGATCTCAAGTAGAATCCTTAATCCCTCTGGCTCAGAGGACACATTTGGTTTGCTGGGAAGTTTACACGGCATATTGTTGAATGTTATTCCTGCTGACTAGTTATGCGACGAGCACTTGCTACCAAATTTTGTTCCAGCCTTTTGGACCAGGATTTCATACGCAAATAAAGGTAGAGAGGGTTTCACACAGCATTTCACTATTAGGCTCAAAGAGGGGATTTTACCAAATTCCTGTAAAAAGAATGTGAAGCCAGTGAATCTTCTGGAGCCAAAGTCTTAAGGATAATGACAGAAATAGAATTGCACGTGGCGGGGAGGGGAAGTGTGTATTCTGCCTCATCCAAAATAAAACTTATCATCTTTGGATATCTCCCTTGCCTAAGCCTGGTCTTTAGAAGCAAGAAGTCTAATTCCATAATATTGGAAATGATTTAAAAGTATCTTTAAAAGAGGGGACAGTAGGTTGAGTGCCCGACCCTTGATTTCAGCTCAGGGCATGATCTCACGGTTCATGGGGGTGAGCCCCACATTGGGCTCTGCACTGACAGCGTGGAGCCTGCTTGGGATTCTTTCTCTCTGCCTCTCCCCTGCTTGTGCTCTCTCTCTCTCTCTCTTTTTCTCTCTCTCAAAATAAATAAACATGAAAAAATTAAAAATATCTTTAAAAGGGTATGTGTATGTATAATGCCAAAAATGGTGATGGAAAAGATGTTCTGCTGAATTTCCTCTTTTCTCTCCTCTTCTGGTTAAGTCCACACACTTCCCCTCTGCGGAGCAGCCCAGGCCCCCGGCTCTTACCTCCTCTGGTGCCCTCCTGGTCCTTGACAGTGTCGTACTACCTTACACACCCTCCGAAGGGCCCAGGGCCCACTCACTCACAGCTGCTGAACCTCACTCTCCTTCCTTTACCCTCTTCCCGTGGTGCCACCTGCTTTTCCTTCGGGCGCTTTTAGCTAACACCTCGCTCCCGTGACCGGCAAAGCACAGGACTGGCCTCGCCCTGCATTTTATAGCCTTTCTTCCACCGACTCACTCTCTTGCCCTAAACTCCAAAGGAGCCCTTCCTTCTTCCAGGCCAACGTTAAGAAGCCTAGCCCGTGTCGTCTTTCTTGTTCTGGAATTCAAGCCCAGTCATTGCCCCTCAGCATCTAGTCCTGATTCTTAGATTTTCACAGGCAGGATTTAATATTCAAACGTAGCAGGCAATACAAAATTATCATCCTTTTGATGTTGTTTTTAATAAATTCACCAGCACCAGGCATGTACTTACGCGCACCCACAGCACACACACACAGACACACACACACACGAGCAGGCACCCAGGACCTTAGGGAGAACCAATAACAAACAATATTGCTGCTGTTACTATTTTTAGGCTCTCTTCAACCCTCCCTGAGTAGCTAAAACAACATAGCTGAGTAGATAAGAGCTCTGATTCTAGGGCCACACTGCCTGGGTCAAATCTCAGCTCCGCTACCTGACCTAATTTGGCAAGTGAGCTAATCTCTCCATGCCTCAGTATTCTCATCTGCTAAATGGGAATAATGAAAAGACCTACCCCATAGGGTTGTCCTGTGGGTTAAATGAGTTCATCTTTGAACAGACACAGAAGTGCACTCACTGCCCAGATCCCCCTTCCAGGGAGGACCTGCTGTTCGGGTACAGAAAGGATGGTAAGAAGATTCCAGCTCTCAACGACTTCAGTGCATCTGAGCTGGCAGACATGCCAGAGGCCATGCCCTTCCCAGGGGAGCCCACATTTGAGGGGCAGGGGGGGAGGGGGTGGATACAAAAGGCCACCCCTTCTAGTCCGGCACAGGACACCGACAGGCAACGCTTGCCTCAGGCTCCCTGCCAGGTCGGCCAGCTGAGGCTTTGTTGAGCCTGCATTGCAATTTGACATCTTCCTGCCTTCTCCCCTTCTCTTCAAAGGTGTCCATCCCTAATAAGCATCTCACATCCCAAACTCTGTCTCAGCGATTGCTTCTAAAGACCTCAACCCGAGACAGCATTTGCCAAGGATTTACACAGGTACCTGGAGCACAGTGAACACTCTGTAAGTGCTTGTTGAATAAAATTAAATAAGGAATCTGGAAAGGCAGTACCTTCACTGCTCCTCCCTCTTAGAGAAGATGTTACAATTAATGTTCACGATCAGGTTATTTTAAAGAGCCACAGAATCTCCCTAATCGGGATGAGGAAACAATAATGCTAGTATAACTATTGTATTGCTACGTTTACGCTTTAGGATATTTTTTTCACTACTATCTTTTCTGTGCTTGATCTTACCAACTCAACTTGTTATTGCTCACAAGGGTATTTTGTGACGTTTTAAAGTTAGGTTCAGTAACGTTTCCCAATGTCTAACATGACGTTATATATAGCCCCTATATGGCTTCTAGAATCAAGATTTCTCAGCGGTGGGAAGAACGCTCAGTGCCGTCTTTACAACCCAGGGCAGATCGTTCGCAGGCTGTGTAACAGGAGGGGAATGAGTGGACTCTGGCCTGGGGACCCTGGAGTCCTCAACAGCTCTGAGGTTGTATTTCATCTGCGAATTGTGGCCGTACCCAGATTCACTTCACTTCGTGAAGAAGAAAGAAAGGACCCTGCTCTCAAGGCCCTGACCCTCTGGCGTGGAAAGGCCACACCAAGTAATAAACAGGACAACCAAAGACGGAGGTAAATACCGTGGAGAAGATGAGGAGACCGTAAGGAGCCCTGGTAAGGGCCTAAATTAGGAAGGGCCTCTCATGGAAGGTGACATTTAAGAATTTCAGGATGAGAAGCCAGAAAAGTGTCTAGGGAAGCACATTCCCGGAAGACGAACAGCAAATGAAAAGACCCTGAGGAATAAGTGTCCTTGGCTGTCGGGGGGGATAACACCAGGAGGCCAGTTTGGGCTGAACAGCAGCTGAGGGAGAATGTGGCCTCCAGGTGAGGTTGGGAACATGGGGCTTGATCCTATAGGCCTTAAAAGTCACAGAAAGGAATTAGGGTTTCATTCTAAACACGAGGAGACCCCAGCAAGTGATCTTAAGGAGTGTTGACGTCACACAACTTATTTTCTAAAAGACCATGCTGACTAAACACAAGCTCAGCAGTGAAGAAGAAAGCTGAGTTACAATTTACTAAAAGATATGGCTTCTCCCAGGTTCCTGGGTGATGCTCTATTTTAGCATTGTGTCATTATTTCAAAGGGCTTTTAGGTGAACCTGCGGCTATTTTATGTGCCACTATGAAGGCACTGAGAACGAACAATACTGTGGGTTAAAACCATCACCAGACCTGAAAAAACACTCCTCCTGCCCACACTCAGAAATTGCAACCATCCTGTGTTCTCACCAAGCCCATTCCTTCTTATTTCTATATATAGCATATCACCTGGCATCGGCTCGTCTGTACAAATCATCTAGAGCCAACCCTTGGTGGTAACATCTCTAGGATAATGGTTAGCTATACCACCTTGGCTTGAAATGGGATGATAATCATTTTTTGGCCTGTCCTAGCTATGGCATCAGTTTGTCAAGGGTGACTAAAGAGAAAAGGAGGAGCATTGGCCTCCTGAAAGACAGGGACTCCTGCCTTCCAAAGAACTGAATGTAAGCAGGATGTGTCGATTTGTCCTTCATTTTCTTTCAGACTAAGAAGCTACTTATGCAAGCCAGGTGGAGGAAGCACTGGCCCAGGAGAGCCCAGGGCTAACAGAAGGAGTAGGGAGGGGTCTGCAAGGCCAGGAAGGAAGTAGACCAACCTGCCCAGGGGAGAAGCTGGGGTTACCAGGGAAATGAGCTACTTTGCATCATTAAGTGCCTATGCAACCCATGTGTGAGGTGGGCAGAACTGGCCAGGAATCCAGTTGTGGGAGGGCAGATTCCAGATCAGTGTTAAGGGGAACATCTGTTACCAGAGAAAGCTTCAGAGGATATAAATTTAATACTTGTGTCTCTGCCTCACTCATTAAAACACACACACACACACACACACACACACACACACACACACAATTTTTTAAAGCATGCGTTTCCTCTCTTCTCCTGATGGAGTTTTCCCTGGCATTAAATGGATGGGATCAAAAACAAGCACGGGCAGCTACTTTGTTTTCTCTCTCCAAGTAACTTGTGTTTATTCTTGGTAATTAAAATGAGGATTGGCTTTTCAGAAAAGCTCAAGATCTTCCTTCCGCCCCCATTCAACCCAGCCTTGACACACACGCGCAGGCTCGCCAGGCATCTTGAAAATCCGTGCCCAGCCCAAGCCCTCCTGAATTCATAGAGTTCCGACTAGTTCTTATGTATTGGAGCAACACTGAGCCAACGCCGGCCAAGGTTGTGAATGAAGGAAATGTGAGTTTCATCAGTGTAGGCTGCCAACTTGAACTTCTTCTGCAATTTAAAGCATTTCTTCAACTCTTCATTTAATCTTTCTCTGTGGGATAAATTAATCATTTGAACAATTCAGGCCTAAAATAAACGCGTAGCCGATCATCTAAATTTAGATAGAAAATGTGTTATCTGATTGGAAGTGGAACGTAACCAGCCTCTGGATCCAAAGGATTTCATTTTCATTTTCTGGGCTATGCTGCCATATTGGCAAGGAGCTCTTAGACCCATTCTGAACCTTCTCAGATGGAAGAGGCAGGGTGCAGGGGAGGAGTCTGCAATCTGAGGAGACTAGAGATACCCCCAAGAAACTCGTATGAAGAGAGGGGCAAGTATTTTAAGTGCAAGCATGTGTATGGTTGCTTTTATTTATTTATTTTTTTAAGAAAGTGAAAAATGACCATACTGACAACAAAGACAGAGCCCGGCTCCATAAAGAATAATAAATAAATAATAAATGAATGAATAAATACATGAAGTCTGTTTTCTCTGCCTCTCTTTGGTTGGTCAAATCTGGATGCCGAGTTTAAATTTCCGGGTCTGTCCCGGCTGGCAGTCCGCGTTCAGAAGCTGCGCTGTGTTCATCCCTACTCGGCGTAGTTCGCCCTTTAAGAAACCCAGAAGTCTGTGTCACCCAAACACATTTCTCTACAAACCAAAAGACTCCCTGGCAGCATGCGGCCAGAGTTTCCCTGCCCACTAGCTGGGATTTCCAAATGACCGCTACATCTGAATGTTGGTCTCCTCCCAGCTGGCCAAGCCGTGCAAGTTTCCATGAAACTACAAAACTAAGACACCCTGTATGCCACTCGACAACAAGAAAGTAAAATCACAGAGGCAATAAAAAGGAGGACAATAAACCAGCAAATGAAAATAGAAACATCCAGCATAATGACAGGGGTGAAATTAGGCCTGGGGCGCCGGCACACAGGCCTGTCACACTCCTTGTTGGAAAAAGGCTGGCCGAAGACCAGATCCACCCCTTGGGATTGCCGAAAGGTGAGGCTGGGGAGAAGGCGCAGATGCACATCCTCAGCTCTCAGGATACGCCCAATGCCATGCTGGAAAGAATCTTAAAATATCTTTCATTCATGCTGCTGGTTCCAAACGCCGAAAGCAGTGTTCTTTATGTTTTCCTCGGCAGAATACGTTCACTGCTCCGTCAGCTCTCTTTACCCCCCCCAGGAGTGAGCTCTCTCTCGGGACAGGGTACACCCCAGCAACTCTCAGACACGCTAAAGGGCCCACGGTGACATCCCCAGGGTAGGAAACAGCAAGGACTTCTGAAGCCCGGAACTCCTCCGGGGAATGGGTTCATTATTATCTCCTTCAGCGTGGACGGTTTCTGAAATCAATCCTTCTTGTGCTAAAGTAATTAAAACACAGGCAGGAGGCTGACTCTAGTTTCCTCATAAATAAACCGAAAATAATGAAAGGTTAGGAACTGGCATTGACTGCCAAGCTTTATGTCTGTCCCCTAATTACTTTCGTACATCACAGATTCGTGCGTGTCTGAAATCATTATTTGATAACGGTGACCATAGTTCCTAAAATAACTAAGAACTGTAATCATGTATTGAAATGTAGAAAAATAGCTTGATAAATGTTTGCCCTCCTACCTAACTAGGTAAACAAAAGAACGCTGACTTTGTATGTTTTGCTGCTTACATGAATATTTCTCTTGAGCAGAGACTGGCCTGACAAAAACAATTATGGGGAGTTGAAAGGCTGAAAGGCCTATAAAACCGAGCAGTGTTTTCCTCCTCAAAATGGGCTGCAACCATCTTGGGGGGTCTGGGGTGGGGAGGGCATTGAGCCACAGTATAAAATAAGGTAAACGTTGGGATGCTTCAATTTCACTGTATTTAAGGGGAGAGAGAGCACATTGGGTTTATCAAAAATAAACATGGCAATATTATAAAGCAGAGTGTAAAATTCTCAATATCACAAAGGCATTCTGAGCTGGGGGCTGTATGCACACGGGGCTTCACAGGCCCTCCTTCATGTCAGGCATTCTTCATGGGACCCTTTGTGAAGTGCTCTTGCAGTGTCAGGAAGAAACGACTGGCAGAATATAAAGCCAGGTGTTTCTGGTGTGCAAAGTTTCTTTTTTTTTTTTTAATTCTTTTTTTTTTAACGTTTATTTATTTTTGACACAGAGAGAGACAGAGCATGAACGGGGAGGGGCAGAGAGAGAGGGAGACACAGAATCGGAAACAGGCTCCAGGGTCTGAGCCATCAGCCCAGAGCCCGACGCGGGGCTCGAACTCACGGACCGCGAGATTGTGACCTGAGCTGAAGTCGGACGCTTAACCAACTGAGCCACCCAGGCGCCCCTGGTGTGCAAAGTTTCTACTCGCGATTAGATTGGAGAAATCTCATTTCTTGTATAAAAATATGAATGATAGGAATCTTAAAGCACATTGCAGACAACCGGTCTTGAGTTGGGGGTAATTTTGCACTCCCCACTGCCACCCCGTCGGGCACAGCTGTCAATGTCTGAGGACATCTTTGGTTATCACAACTTGGAATAGGGGAGCGTTACTACTGGCATCTAGTGCTCAATGTCCTCTAACGCACAGGACAGCCCCCCACAACAAAGAGTTTCCCAGCCCAAAATGTCAACAGTGCTGAGGTCAGGAAACCCTGCTCTAGCCAAAGTGTATACATACACACAGAAAACTAGTGGCCTGAAGGTCAAGTCAGGCCTTGGGGATCAGGGCCCTCAGAAGGCCTATGAAGGCAGTCACAGTGCAAGGCAAGGAGACACATGTCTATCTGCACCAGGCAAGAGACAAAACCCAGCCGCGGGGGACAGGGGTTCAGCTAGTTGCCAGACCAGGGAGATTTAGACTTCAGGCCATAGATGGTACGGCAATGTGGTGTTTGAAGATGTGCTTTTGGGGGACTGTGAAAGTCGCTGTACGCATCTGATCAGAAATGTGCTGTCTCCTCCAGAAAACCGCCTTACTCCTCCAAATGGGAGAGAGCCGCCCCCTCAGTGCTCAGGCTATGGGTCCGAGGTCCTTATTACCTTACCAACCACTACCTTCTGCCAGTGGTCCTCAGAGTGAGCTGTAAGCTCCTCGAAGACAAGACTCGTCGTGCCTTTTCAAATATTTCCTTGTGGTCCATAGGATCATAGAACAAAGCAATCCCCGTGAAATGGTTGTTGAATTTACATCAATGTTGTAGTGTCCCCCCAATATTAGAAACGCTGCATGCACACGTGTGAATAAAACACGTTACATGGGAAGAGAAAAAGGAAGTGATCTACTGTTTTCATCTGGAAAAATCCTTCAGCAAACTCTACCTTCAAAGACCTGTTTATACTTCTTTTTTGATGCTAACCATCTGCCTGACTGCCTTCCCCCTTTCTTGAGCCTTTTTAGCAGTTTCCAGTAGTAATGCGGTTCATCTTGAAATTTCACTGCTGCATCTCATAAAAGGTCACAATCTTGGTTAATGTTATTTTAGACGTAAATGCCTGAGATCAAAGCACAGGGCAGTTTGCCTATCCTTCACTACACAACTAAAAATAAAAATTAATTAGGCTCTATAATTTGTTAATTTGCTAATGACTTTTCCCTATAAAACGCAGTTTGACTCTGCTCAGCTTTAATTGTAACAAAAATTTGATTTAGGCTTTCTCCTTCCTCTTCATATTCAAAATGAGTCACTCTATAGACTGAGAAGGAATCAAGCATTTTGGGGATAAAAAGTAGTTTGGGAATAAAAGGCAATTTTGGAATAAAAGGCAATTTTCCATGTTAAAGTATTCTGGGAAGCTTCAGTACCTTCCTATTGTTCCCATTCCCAAGATGTAAGAAACTCATCCCAAGCAATCCAAATAGCTTCAACTCCACTTACAAAACAAATCAAAGGACTATTCTTCACCTTATAAAGGTGAAGATTCAACCCAAGATTGCTTTCATTCAGCAGCACTTACTCTCAAAGCCATTCAAATTCAGATGATGTTTACACATCTTTTCAGGAATCAGAAAGAAGAACTTCCTAAGAGCTAAGAAGGAGTGACAAAAGAGCCCAACCCCTTAATTTTACAGGTGAAGAAACAGGCTCAGAAGGCAATATGAACTCTCTCAGCTACATAACGATAACAGCTAGGACTTATATCAAAGGCCCACAGCTTCTCACATCTTTATCACTTCCACCGTGTCTAAGCCGTCATTATACCGTAGCGGGCCTGGTACAGAAGTCCTACTTCTACCCTCCCTCCTGTGCCCTCCCCTCCCCACAAAGATCACTCCACACAGCAGCCAGAGGGACGTATCTACAACAGAGGGAAAACTAGGTCACTCCTTTGCTCAGAAACTTCCGATGTCTTCCCACCTCCCTTAGGTGAAAGCTAATCCTCACGTGGCCTACGCAGCCTAATCTATTTGTCATTATTTGTCTCTTCTATCAAAGCACCCAACACTTTCTTCACTGGATCCTGACCCTTACGGTTCCATCCACCAGAAACCCCTTCTTCTAGACTGCCAAATGATTCCCTCCCTCCTTTCCTTTCTTCGGGGGTCTTCCCAAACATCACTTTACCAGAGGTGGCTTCTCTGACCACCTCTATGTAAATAACACCATTCCACCTCCTCTCTCTCTTTCTCTCTCTCCCTCTCTCCCACCTTGCTTTCTTTCCTATTTTTTCTAACACTTTTACTCCCTGACACATTACATATTTATTTATTCATTGACTGCCTTTCCCCACTAGAAGATCAAAAAAAAAAAAAAAATCCCTGCTGGATCCCCAGACAGTATTTTTTTTATAAAAAATTTTCTTAATGTTTATCTATTACTGAGAGACAGAGAGACACAGAGCATGAGCAGGGGAGGGACGGAGAGATGGAGAGACACAGAATCCGAAGCAGGCTCCAGGCTCCGAGCTGTCAGCACAGAGCCCAACACGGGGCTCGAACTCACAAACCGAAAGACCATGACCCGAGCCGAAGTCAGACGCTCAACCAACTGAGCCACCCAGGCGCCCCTAAACACTCAGTATTTTTGAAGTCTAAGTGTTACTATGTGCCAGGTACTATTCTAAGGAAGGTACAAGGACCAATTTACTCAGCCTTCCCAACAAGAACCAACTATTGTCATCACTGTCATCTCTGGTTCACGGATGAAGAAACTAAAGCACAGAGAAGCTTAGAAACTTGTCCAAGATCACCCAGCTAGTAAATGGTAAATCCAGAATCTGAACCCAGAGCACAGGCTCTTTAACCACCGAGATGTATTGTGTCACGCTTAACTAATGACGAAAAATGACTTCAGTGTTTTTTTTCTCCACACCATACTCTCAGAAATTGGGATACATTCCAGTGTGCTTTCAAAATGTCAGCAGTTTCCTGTAACTGCCTAATATTTTAAACAATCCCTAAGACTCATAAACAGGAGCAAAAATGTGAGCCACAGTTCTGATGCACTTGTTCAGAGCACACAAACCATAGGACTGTGACATACACATGTGTGCAGGCAACTCTCCACACTGGACTGGGATTACCATTATTAGCTCTGGTCCATAAAGGGAAAGCTAAGACATAAAAGCTGCAGGGATGTTCCAGGACACACAGCCAGGAACAGTGGCTGGAAGGGAGCCATTGAGGGCCCCTCTGGGACTGCAGCAGGCCACACATGCTCCCTGCTTATTATAAGTGTAAAACACCCTGGTGACTCACACAGTGGAATGCTTAAGCCAAGATGTCACCTAACAGAGGGTATGTTGATACAGCTTTATCTGAGAAGTTACATAATCATCCTAATGTGGAAATGCCAAAAAGGAATTTGTGCCTTGGAATAAAAGAGAGATGTACCCCTGGGAATGACTGACTCCACAAAGGATATAAGGAGTTTTCCAGTGAGAAACTTATTACCCTAGACAGAGCAGGTGACTTGTAAAAAACAGGTCGCAATGGGGGCTAAGGATTCACTATGGGCAGTTCCACTTGGTTAAGACTTAGCCAGACCCCTGCCCTAGACAGCCTCCAGTGTCCCCCAGACCCGCCCCCTCCCACAGGGCAGAAAGAGGCCTATTCTGTTATCTAGCCTCCTGGGATATAAAAGTCCTTACTTTGAGTCCTTTCTGCCTCTTGCTTTTGGGTCAAATATTTATTTATTCAAGTCTAGAGACTTCATTATCTTTCTACCCTAGAGGGCCGAATGAATCTCCCCTTCCACTCTGTAGGAATTTTCTGAAAGAACTTACTCTCTGAAAAAAATCTCGAGCTCTGGGATACCGCTCCCACCCTCCAGTCTTCCCTTGACCTCTGCCTCCGTCGTTCCACCTGCCCCAGGACGTGACAGAAGGAAGGAGGTTGGCTGGAAGGGAGGGGCGAAAGTGTCACAAGCACCTGTCACCTGGCTGGCCCTGGTCCCCACCTCCCCAGCCCCCAGAACCTCCGCCCTCCCTCCCGCTCGCCCCGACTGCGACTAGCCCGTCCCTCCCGCCCCAGCCTCCCGCCACCTTCCAATGGCCAAGGGGCAGGGCAAGCTGAGCAAGCCGCGGCAGCCCAGCTGGGTCCCCGCCCTGTTCCCGGTTCCCAGGCCGGGCCCCTGCGACCTTTAAATGCCGCCCAGGGCCAGCGCGACGCGGCCTTCGCCACCCTTCTTCCTCGGGCGGCGACAGCAGCACCCCGAGCAAGAAAGCAGCCCCGACCGCGCAGCGGCGGTCCGGCAGCAGCGGCCACCTCCGACCTCCCGGCCCGAGCCGCCTCCCGCTCCCCTCCCCCTCCTCCCCGGCCCAGCCTGCCTGGTCGGCGCCTGGCCCCAGGCGTGCGCGCACGCGTGCCCGCC